TGTATAGCAACTTGAAATGCTCCCAAAAATGGTACTACAACATGTAAAAATATAATATAAGCTCTGGCGGACTTGGTTCTATGGTAGGTCTTAAAGGGTTAATGTGATTCTTAAGGTTTGATTTAAGAATCAAAGGGTGGAATTGTATAGAAATTTATTTTATTTATGTATTATTCACATTATTTTATTGTATAATGCCTTGGTGCCACTGGATTTTATCATGTCTCACACTCACGCAGTTAGACAGATAGTGGGGGTCTGGTAAGGAAGTTGGGGGAAGCAGACAACTCCACAGGAAGAATCTTTTGTCTCTTCGAGATAGAGGCAGAAGAAGGTATTTAACTGAGAGCCATGCTAGGCTCAGAGAGACTCTGCTGACCGTCTGCCCCACGATCATGCATGCTCTCCACCAAGCTTGGTTTTCTGTTATTTGTTTGTGATTAAAGAATGTTAGCTACCGCTCACCGCTTGTCTGCAGGCTTTATTTAGTGGAAAACTTCCACAACATACCCAATTGAATATGTTTTTAGATACTAATGGTATCATGGAAGTTTTTCAGTCAGGTTTTAAACATCTCCACTCCACTGAAACAGCACTTTTATGGGTTTTTAACAATATCTTTTTAGCTAATGACTGTGGAAATTCTGTGATCCTTGGGCTTTTAGATCTTACTGCAGTGTTTGATATCGTTGACCACAATATTCTTATCTCCCATTTGGAACACCTGGTTGGCATCAAATGTGCAGCATTGGTTTGGCTTCGTTCATATTTGAGTGAACATTCAGAGTTAATGTTGAAAATTTTGAGTCCACCTCAGCCCCCCTTTCTTGTGGGGTGCCCCGGGGCTAAATTCTTGGCCCTCTTCTTTTTTCATTATACCTGCTCCCTTTGGGGTCTATTTTTAGAAAACACAAAATATCCTTTCACTGCTTCACAGACGACTGCCAAATTAATTTGCCTTTAGCACCAAATGGCCCAGGCTCCATCCAAATCCTTCTGAACTGCCTTAAAGATGTCAAAGCTTGGACGGCGCTGAACTTTTTGAGTTTCAATGAGAGTAAAACGGAGGTGATTGTATTTACACCTAATAAGATTCCATGCAACCCGCTTGGGAATTGTGGTTGGTGGTTATTGTGGCTATTGTCTTATATCAGACAACATGTGACAAATATGGGAGTCATTATGGACTTGGATTTTAAATTGAGTAAACACATTAGTTCTGTGTTGCAAAAAAAAAATGAAGCAAAGGGAAATAGCAAACCTTAAGCCAGTTTTGTCAAGACATGACATGGAGAAGGTAATACATGGCTTTATTTCAACTATGCTTGACTACTGTAAAGCACTTTATGTTGGAGTCAGCCAAGGATCCCTTGCACGTCTTCAGCTCGTTCAAAATGCTGCTGCCTGCCTCTTGACTGGTATCCTGTTCTCTCTTCATCTGCTTCCTATTCATGTTAGAATTAATTTCATAGTCCTAAAGCTGGTTTGTAAATGCCTAAATGGTCTTGCTCCCCCATACCTTTCTCAGGTACTTCAGCCTTAAAATCCTTCGCGGGCCCTTAGATTAGCTGATTTTGGTTGTCCCAAAATCTGGGCTAAATGTAGAGGAGAATGAGCCTTTTCAATTATGGCTCCCGAACTTTGGAATATGCTGCCTTCAAATATTAGACAGGCATCTTCGTTTCCTGTTTTTAAGTTGCTTTTGAAAACATACCTTTTGTCGTTTATACTGGTGTGAGTTGATATGTTCATTAAGTGTATTATTGTGTGTTTATGTCAGTGTCATTGGTTTTATCTTGTGTTTTACCCCTTTGTTTCTGTACAGCACTTTAGGCAAACTTTATGTTTTTAAATGTGCTATGTAAATAAATTGGATTTGGATTTGGATGTGTTTAGAGACTGAAACAATGTTGTGCATCTTTCTTTTTTGTCTTGACAAATTGTTATTTAACTTTTTTTTTTTAAATGGTAAACCTAAACTTTGCCTCAGTTTTGATAAATGAAGGCTCCACCTTAAAACTGGTGTGTTATATTAAAATCTGTGATTATTCACTGTGAATTACTCTTGGACACAGCAATAGCTTACTGAGCTATTTATGCTGCTTTTAAATGTAACATAGTATGTACCAAACTGAAATCGAGTTTGCAAATGAGAAAAGGATTAACTACAAGGATCACGTTCCTTTAATATTAATTGCAACCCACTGTATGTATGACAGTATTACTGGGAGCTGAGCAACACAAAAACTCTGAACCAAGATTTGCCCCTTGGTTTAAATGATATTCATATCATATTTGTAATTTAAACAACACAGAGAAAGCAGAGTAAATTATATCTAATTAAAACACAAAAATGATTGATTGTTCAGTCATTTCATTATAATAAACAGTTTGTTACTAATCACACATGGATTTATCGAAAAACAATTGATCATTAATAGCTGATCTATTCACACAAAAAGAAATATATCAGAAATTAATACAAAACATGAAGATTTTCTACTGACTGAAATGGAAGATTACATGCAAAACAATTCCTAGTGAAAACTTAAACTAAAAAGTCTGACAAGGACATCAAGATGACATTCAAAAAGTATATTTTCCCAGTTTCTTTTTGAACTTAGATTCTTCAACCATGACAAGAAGTTGACAAAAATAACAGGTGCATTTGGTGCATGTCTTCCCCCTTCTCTCTCTGTCCGTGCTTTCCTGTCCTTCCTTCACTGTGTCTATCAAATAAAGCTGGAATAAGCCAGGTGAGAAAAATAAATGGTGAAACTGTCAGTGTTGGGCAAGTTACCTTGAAAAAGTAATTAATTATAGTTATAAGTTACTTCTTAAAAAAAAGTAACTGAGTTAGTAACTGAGTTACAAGATTCTAAAAGTAATTAATTACTTGAAAAGTAACTAATGTGTTACTTTAAAAAAAAAAAGTTTAACCCTCTGGGGTCCAGGGTATAAATGGCCATTTTTAACTACTTTTGATTTTCCCTCAACATTTCACCTTTAAAAACTATTTGCTTTGCCTTGTTTGGTATCATTCTACCTCACATGTCTGAATTTATAGTTATGTTTTCATTTTGGCATACTGTATTAACACAATTGATCTAAAATCAGACAAAAAAAAATCCAAGTAGAAAAAGTTATATTTTTTACTGTAACAACCACAAACATGTTTATTGAATCATATTTCATAACTTTAAATGCAAATATAAATGTCATGTTGGCATATCATTTTTTAATTGGTCGACATGGTACATTTTCCCACCAACATGAAAGGGGTGTTTTTTTTTGGTTTTTTATTTTTATTTTTTGGTCATAAGCAGAGAGTGCTTGCTAGCGCTGTCCTTAGACAGTAAACGTGACGAAACTATTCAGGAAAAAACGGCGCGTGTATATTGTTTATCATGACTCTGGTTTTACATTGCCTATGAACACAATTTAAAAACTGTTATATATCACCTTATTGATCTGTCATCTTGAAGTGGTCATGTGATTGGCTTACCAAGACATTTTTATTCTTCCTCAGCCAAACAGCAGCATTCATGCGATTGTTTTGCCCCCTTGCTAAAGGTGTTGTGCCAAAAAGTGATCGTCTGGCAGAAAGTGATTGCCATCTGCGGGAGCATGCGCAGCTGCTTAAAGCTGTAGTGCCCAGATTTCTTATGTAGACGGCTACTTCCGTGCAACTGATATAAGGCTGAAGACAGCTTCAACTGTCTGTTTGTTGACTGTAACACGACCGCACCGCACTTTCTTGTTAGTAACGGTAACAGCGTTGTAACGATAGAAATAGTAATTAATTACATTACTTGTTACTGACAAAAATTAACCCCGTTAGTAACACCGTTACTTGTAACGCCGTTATTCCCATCACTGGAGACTATCTGAAACAGTGTTTAAGTATATCTGACATTTTAGTTGATACCCAATCTGAAGTGACTTCTGTGGCAATGAACTTTTATTGTTTAGAGATTCTGCTATCTAAACAGGAGGAACAGACGCACATCTCAAACTGTACATTTCTCTTTATAAAAGGCTGCAGGCTGATGTGTCATTGGCCTTTTGACTCAAGATTTGTTGCATCAGGTCAAATAATTGTTGTTCTTGTGTTTCCTGAAGTTGTTTTTTCTCCTCATTTTTTGCATTCCTCATTTCTCTTTCATGTTTTTCCACTAAAGTCCTGATCTTTTTGATGTTTTCACTCTTTTTGATCACACGTTTCACGAAGTTATTAATTTCCCTCACATAGTTTTCCCTCTGACTTTTTAATTCCTCCTTGTGTTTCATTTTGGATTCATGAAGCTCTTCAGCTATCTTTCTGGATTCCTCTTTATATTTCTTCTCTAGGTCCTCCAGAGATTTCTTGTGTTTTTTCTCCAGTTCTTTGATTTTCTGTTCTTCCTGCTCTCTTCTGATTTGATCCTCTTTTTGTTTCTTGTTTTCATATATTAGTTTTTCTGTATTATGTTTTTCCTCAAGTTTTTCCAGTTTTTCTTTCTCCTGTCGTCTCAATTCATCTTCTTGTTGTTGTTTCTCTCGCTCTTCTCTTCGTTCTTTCTCCCACTCTTCTTGTTTTCGTTGCATCTCTTCTCTGGTCTCTTCCAGCTTCCTGTCAACACTTTCCTTTGCTTCTTTTTCCAACTGAATTTGTCTGTCCAATTTTTCAAGTTCTTCTTTGAGTTGTTGTCGATGTACTTCTTCTTCAGCGTCCTTTTCCCTCTTCTCTTTTTCTCTCTTTTCTTCTTCTATTTTTCTTTTTTCTTGATCTTCCTTAATTTTGTCTGCCATTTCCTGGAGTTCTTGAGCTTTCTCTTCCCTCTCCTTTTCCATTTTTTTTCTATCTTCTTCCATTTTTTGTTTCATGGCTTCCATTTCTTCCTGATGTTTTCTTTCAATTGCTTTCGTTTCTCTCACAATTTCTTCTTCCTTCTCTTTCAGAATCGTCTCCATCTCCTTCCTTATCGCAGTTTCAGCCTCTTGCAGCATCTTGTTGGAGAAACAGCGTCCTCCATTCTTCTTCACCATGGTGTCAATCTTTGCTATCAGCTCACTGACTTGTTTTTGATTGTGTTTGCCACGGTTATTGAACACATGGTATCTTCCTCCACAGTCAGAGATCAGCTTCTTAAAGGAATCATCACATTTGTTCTTGATGTAGTCCTCTGAGGACAAGCTGTCAATCTCCAGTGCATCTCCTCCTGTTAAAAGGACGATAGTAAACTTCTGAGAGTTCTTCCCAAAAAATTTTTTTATGAGCTCCAGTGTCTCCTTTGTCTCCACTGCTGTGAATCTACCAATCTGTACCACCAGCAGGAAGACATGTGGTCCTGGAGCCAGGAGACTGACAAATTTCACCATCTCCTCATGAATCTCATCATTGGTCAAAGTTGTGTCAAACAGACCAGGAGTGTCGACCACATCAACAGGACGACTGTTCACCTCACTATGTGCTTTCTGGCAACTTTTTGTGACTGACATTTGACTTGATTCAGCTTTAAACTCATTTCTTCCTAAAATAGTGTTTCCTGTAGAGCTCTTTCCACAGCCGGTCTTCCCAATCAGCACAATCCTGAGACAGTGTGAGTCCTGTTCTCCAACTTCATCACCTAAAACATGAAAACAACCTGAGTTAGCGTAAAGATTGACACTTGTACATAGTTACATCAAGAGTCATTATGTCAATGGAAAATATTAATCTAGATTACTTACCACTAGCAAGTTTTAAGACTTTCTCCATTTGTGCATGTAGAAAGGTTGTAGCTGTATAACAGTGTGGTTTGTCTGTGGCCTCACTAATTTTGTCCACAACCTCAAACATCTTTGGAATCCTCTTTTTGTCTTTGATGTTGAGAACCACATGTCTTTGTCCATAGGTCTGAAGGAGCTCCTGGATATGTTGGTCTGTACTTACAAACTTTTCATCAGCTGGATCTGTAGGATCTGAGTCCACAGTAAACAGAATCATGGTGAAGTCATTGACTCGAGAGCTGAATGCATCCTGGATGGTCTCTAACTCTCCCTTGTCTTCATCAGTGATGGCAGCTGCAGGTAGGACCAGGATGAAGGCATGGACACCCTCAGGATCACAGAGGGAGATACACCTGAATGATTCCTCCATCACTGCCTCCTGAGGTTTTCCATACAAGGCAGGCAGCTCCACCAGGGAAACCCGACGTCCACACACCTCTCCCTGATGTTTAACACACTCTGATGAGTTAGAGACTGAATGAAGCTCTGTCTGACCTAAAATGGACTTGGCTACTGAAGTCTTCTCCCTCCCAAACAGAACCAGTTTCAGACTGGACTTCAGATTGTGTTTAACGTCTTCTTTTAACATTAGATATGTTCCCCAGTTTTCACTCACTATTTTATTTATATCCTCCATCAACTCTGAGTATTCTGTAGGAGAATACATTTTGTCAAACCAGTTCTGCCTTTGGTTGCAGTCTTCAATGAGTTTTTCCACTGAGTTATTGCCTGTCTCTTTTTTCTTAGTTATAATGACCATTGAGTGTTTAAATGCATCTTGACCAAACAAGTTCAGGACCAAATTCAGAGTTTTTCTGTCCTCTTCAGTGAAATCAGAATGTTTCACAATCAGCAGCAGAACGTTTGGTCCAGGAGGACAGAGACTCACACAGCTCTTCATCTCTTTAAACAGAGTTTTCACAGACAGATTGAAGATGTCGGGGGTTTTGACTACTGTTAATGGTTTCCCTTTCCACTCTCCAGAGGCAGCATGACGTTGCTTTCCTCCACGGACTTTAAACTCTTTTTTTCCAATAAGGAGCTTTTCCAAGGCTGATTTTTTGTTCTCACTTTTTCCAAACAGCATTATCCTGAGCTCATGTGCTGTAAAAAAAAAAATAAAAGAAGAAACTGGTAAATGACCTCAAAATGTATGAAATACAGATTTCTGTAACCAAAGTTTTACTACATTCTGTTACATACATACTTTTTGAATTATTGATCAGATCATCCGATGTGTTAAATGCTAATGTTTACACCACCACCATTTTTCTTCTTTTTAAAAAAACATGTAGCTACAGATTATTTGTTCCAGGGATCCCAGGGGGTATTTTGTTGGGGGGGGCTTTGCCACTTGGTTGGGTCTCCCATCACAAATTGGTCCTGGGTGAGGGACCAGATAGTAAACAATTTTAGACCCTTATGATTGCCAGACCAAGGGAACACTTTACCCTGTCAGGCATATGGTTACCCGGGCCCCACCCGCACAGTAGAACTTGATAGGGTACCTAAGGGAGAGCATCTGGTGGCCAGCCTTAGCCCATAGGTTCTTGCTGGGTGCAACCTGAAGAAGGAACATGGGCCCAGCCTCCTTTAGGTGAGCCATTTGCACGAGACGCCATAGGGTACAATGTGTGCCGTGTAGTGGCCAAGGTTTGAGACACTGGCTGACCAATCCCTGCTACAGAGACTGGAGACTGGGATATAGAATATCACCTTTCTGGTGGGGAAGGAGCCTGAACTAGTATGTGAACCCTGGGAATGCCTCTAGCTTATCTCAGGGAACAATATTCCCCCAGATAAGTAAGAAGAGGTGGCTAGAAAGATGGAAGACTATTGCACTGCGCTGCGGCCGCAAGGTTGTGACTGCCAGTGATGGTGGTAATCCACGAACCAGATGTGGACACCAGAGGTGAAAGGAGCCATCAGACTGAAGAATAGGAGTCCTTTTGGGCTTTGTTAGTCTGTATGACTTCGGAGGCAGACATTGATTACCAGCAGAACAAGTGGAACACAGCTTTGGAGGAGTTTGGAGATGCCATGGGAAAAAGCTTTTGTAATGCCTTCAAGTAAATTTACTGAATTTCCCGGAAGAACCCAACCAAGGGATTAATAAAGTTCTATCTAATCTAATCTAATCTCTCTAAGTGAACCTGTCAAATCATCAGGGAGGGGAAAGTGGTGCTATACCCCCATGGTGTAAAATACAGGTGACTTCAAGTGAGGATATTGTCCGGCAGTGGAAGGGACAATTCAAGGACCACTTTAATTCATCTGACAAACCTTCCACTGAGAAAGCAGAGTCTGGGGATCATGGGGAGAAAGTCATTAATCAGTGGGGGTGATGTGACTGAGGCAGTTAAACAACTTTTTGTTGCCTAAGCCCTTGGAGTGAATGAGGTTTGCCCTGAGTCCCTGGAGGCTCTGTAAAATGTAGGGCTGTCTTGGTTAACATGTCTCTAAAATGTCGCATGGAGGGGGAGCACATTCCCCACATCTGCAGAAAAGTCTATTCCAGGTGATGGAAAGAAGAGTCTATCTATTAGGCAAAACTTGGATACAGGTGGAACAATGCATTTTAGTCACGGTTGTGGAGTAGTAGACTGGCTCTTTATCCTCTCAAGGATATTTGGGGGTACAAGGAGGTTGCCCAACTAGTCTACATGCCCAACCAGTCTACATGTGTTTTGTGGGTTTGGAGAAGGCATTCAACCGAGTATTCTGTGTGAGGTGCTTCTGGACTATTGATTGCAGTGCATACAGAAGACTTTCAAAAAACTGAAGGTTTCTGTGAGCAATGCTGGGGACATATTCTGGATGTGGAATGAATATAATTTCACCAAAAAACTGACCACAACCAGGTGCTTTCCACAAGATTTCAGACGGAGGAGGGAAAAGAATTATTCAATTCACTTCAATCTTATTTATATAGCGCCAAATAACAACAACAGTCGCCTCAAGGCACTTTATATTGTACAGAAGATCGTACAATAATAGATTCAGAGAAAACCCAACAATCATATGACCCCCTATGAGCAAGCACTTTGGCGACAGTGGGAAGGAAAAACTCCCTTTTAACAGGAAAAACCTCCGGCAGAACCAGGCTCAGGGAGGGGCGGCCATTTGCTGCGACTGGTTGGGGTGAGAGAAGGAAAACAGGATAAAGACATGCTGTGGAAGAGAGAAAGAGATTAATAACAGGTATGATTCAATGCAGAGAGGTCTATTAACACATAGTGAGTGAGAAAGGTGACTGGAAAGGAAAAACTCAAGGATTTTGAATTCTGGATTTAACAGGGAGCCAATGAAGGGAATCCAATACTGGAGAAACATGCTCTCTCTTTCTAGTCCCTGTCAGTACTCTTGCTGCAGCATTTTGGATTAACGGAAGGCTTTTCAGGGAGTTTGGAGGACATCCTGATAATAATGAATTACAGTAGTCCAGCCTGGAAGTAATAAATGCATGAACTAGTTTTTCAGCATCACTCTGAGAACCTTCACAGACATATTCTGAGACAGGATATTTCTCATTTTAGAGAGGTTGCGCAAATGGAACAAAGTGGAGTGTTAGTGGAGGCCAAGGTAATGCCATCCAGAGTAAGAATCTGGTTAGGTACCATATTTCTAAGATTTTCAGGGCCGAGTAAAATAACCTCAGTCGATCTGAATTAAGAAGCAGAAAATTAGCGGCCATCCAGGTTTTTATGTCTTTAAGACATTCCTGCAGTTTAACTAATTGGTGTGTGTTATCTGGCTTCATGGAGAGATAGAGCTGGGTGTCATCTGCATAGTAGTGAAAATGTATACCGTGTCCTCTAATGATGTCTAGGGCAGGGGTCAGCAACCTTTAAGACCCGAAGAGCCATTTGGACCCGGTTTCCAGGCAAAGGAAAACACTGGGAACTGCAAATACTTTTTGACATCTAAAATGAAGATAACACTGTATATCTCCAAAAGTTGATTCTGTTCATCTGGACTCTTTCAAGGATGAGGATGTACACCTCTTGGACAGGGAGGAACGCTGGTTTAAGCGCAGAGTCAAAGAGGCCATTTACGTGAAAAGGGAAAGACCATCTCTGATTCGAGGAGGGGGCCTAATGGCACATCTTTCGCCATCTTACAATGCTGTGATTGCAGTCATTCCCCAACTCTCTGTGAATGGTACTCATGGCCATTGATCAGTGGGCTTTGATCAGTGGGTTTTGGTAAGTTTTTGTTGATCAATGGTTATGAGAATTTGCATAATTAAGATTAAGGAACTGACCTCCCAGCCCATTGTTCCTTCAGTGGGCAGATGAAGGAACAAATGTACTGTTTATAAGATTGTGGAAACTTGCAGTCAGCTGAGACTGAAGAAGTCACTTGGATGAGTGACAAAACATTTCTCCCACAAAACGCTATGTCCAGATGAACGGAATCAACTTTTGGATATGGACATCCATGGTTTCATTCCTTTTTTCAGTGTGTAGATCGGATAGTTTGACACAAACATCTGGTGAGAGTTTCATGTCAGCACAGCACCTTTAAAAATATATTTATTTAGAAAATTGGTATTGTGTTCAGTATTTATTTTACCCCCCAGATATAAACGGGGATACCAAGGACCTTTCGTTGGAACCAGGCCCAGCAAAGGGGCTTATCAACCAATCACCATCGAACTGGTCGGTCTGGCTGTGCGCAAGAGTAATGTACTTAATGGGACTGCACTTCTATGGGCCCAGCACGTACTGAAGGTGGTGGGCAAGTGAAGGTGGAGGGCTTGAACTCAGCCCCTTGTTTCAAACTGGGATCCTTCAAACCTGAACTGAAGTTTAAAGTTTACAGCTAGAAGCAGAAGAACTCAACTTCTCTACATTTCATGAGTTTTGGAACTAGTTTCCAGTAACTGTTTTCAAGCAAAACACCACTCTCACAAAGAGAACCTTAATTTATGAATGAGTAGAATTTGAGAATGAGATATTTAAGAGATACGTCTACTTTCAGTTGATCTCTTCAGAGGTTATCTCAGTGGATCAACTGCCTCAATCTCTAGCATCCTCCTCTGTCACACCAACTCTCTACATGTGCTCCTTCACCACATCTATGAACTTGTTATCTGATCGTCCTCTTTTCCTCCTGCCTAGCAGCTTCATCTTCTGTTTTCCAACATGTCCACTATCCCTACTCTACACATTTCCAAATCATATCAGCCTCTTTTATTTTTCACCAAACTGCTAAACCTGAGTTTTGGAATATTTAAGAGCTGTATCATTTAAAAAATGTCATCTTCAGGATTTCAGGATGTCAGAAAGGTAGTGTTCCAGCAGCTGTCAGGAGTTTTCCAGGCAGGGGTGTCCACTTAGCCCCCCCTGGATTGCAGTATTTGTACACTGCTGAAAACCCCGAACTTAAACCTGACCATCACATTACACTGTACAAAAAATACTGTTCCTAGACTCACCACCTCTTAAAGGATCCAAGTTGGCAGGGACTTTATCTTCCTCATCTTGACTGGGTGAAACAGATGTTTCCTCTCTGGAAACATCCTCCCCCATGCTCTTCTTCACCACTGTATCTATGGCTGCTAACAGTTGCTCATGTTCCAGGTTCTGCCACAACAATTTTCCACTACATTTCTTGATTATGTCTCCTAACTGTGGATGCTGCAGATACTTTTCAATGGAAGTTGAACTCTTGTCTTTGGGCATTATCAGAACCAGTGCACGGTCAAGTGATGGATCACCAAAGAGTTCAAGGACCATTTGTAGCCTCTGTTTGTAATCCTCAGTGAAGTCTGCAGGCTGGAGGACCAGCAGAAACACATGAGGTCCAGGAGCAGAGAGTCTCACACAGTTCTCAACATGTTTTGTCAGATCTTCTGGGGAGATTTTAGGTGACAGCAGGTCTGGAGTGTTGATGAGATCAATTTCTTTCCCTTTCAGCTCTCTTTTGACTCTCAGACAGAGGTCTGCTTCATCATGACAGTTGAACACAGTCTCTTCCAGTATGAAGTTCCCCACTGAGCTCCTCTTAGACCAGCTGTTCCCCATCAGGACAGCCCTCATCTCAGACACTAAAAAAATAAGTTCAATTACTGAAAAATGGAATTTTAATGTAAATACACTTTATTTTACTTATTCATAAATTTTAGTTGCAACAATAATATTCATGTCTTAATTTTCGGTTCATTTTTGAACAATAATAATGCTCCTCCTCAGCCCAAAACAGCTTTTAAAACATGTATGAGAAAAACCTAGTGTGTTCATTTCTAATACTTTACCCAAGTTATGGATGTCGAAAAGTTTAAAATAACAAGGGATTTAATTTTACTTTAAAATTATATTTTAGTGTAATTTAGTGTAATATTTATGGTCAAATCAAATCAAAATGTATATCTATAGCACATAATAACACAACAAAGTTAACCAAAGTGCTTTACAGTCGGTCAGAGCAATAGCATAAGACAGAATAAAAGAATTAGTTAAAAGGAGGGCAGGAAAAAAATATGAACAATATGGGTAAAAAAAACAACATAATTAGCCACGAAATAGCATACACTGTAAAATGTAATATTGTGTTTAATTAAAAATATTAAATAGGCTGAACTCAGTTTTTATCAATTTGTTATTAGAACTCGATTTTAATAAGTTACCAGTGCATTTTATGCAAAAACGCTGATAAACTCAATTTATTTGAGTTGTCTTAACTTAGAAAAACTAAGTAAGCTGGAAGTTTTGCTTCTCAGTGCGGAAGGATGAAAGATGTGTTTTGAAAATGCCACATCACTACCGTCCTCCTCCCTCTCGGATCAGTCCGCATGTTCATGGTGCCAGCATTTGTTATGGAATATGTTGAGCAAACCTGGAAAAGCGTCAACTCAGGAGATTATTGTCATTGCTGTGAATCTTTACCTGATACACTGATTGATGGAGTAAATGTTTACTCTTATTCAAATTGATTTTGTGGCTTCTCTTAGTCTAGCACCAGGTTTATAATCTTGCTAGCTAGTTAGTGTTAGCCTAGCGTTGCGGCTGGGCTGCTGCATGGCTCATGTTACTTAAAAATTAACACCACAGCCTTAAAAACTTTACATAAAAATATGTCTGTGAAATTTTCTGTTGATTGTTTGAAATAAAAAAAAGTGAGATAAGTTGGGGTGTGGGGGGTATTTTCAATCCATAGCCATAACTAACTAACTAACTAATTATAAATAAATATCATGTTTAACCTGAGTAGCAAAAGACCGCAGGGGGTTGAAAACAATAAGCCAGGAGTTAGCTATGCTCGCGGACTCTATCAAGCCTTGACCTCCCGGTCAGCTATCGCGCTGGTGGATAACAGAGCTCTCCGAATATCTCTCTGTGCATACTTGTAAGCGCGGCAATGGCGGAGGAGCGCGGCTAAAAAACGTATTACTTTTTCTGGGTCACAAAATAAACTTTTAAGATATTTCCAGGCAAGAATGCAGCTGTGTAAAGTTCAAATATCTGTTCGATTTATCAAGACATCATTTTTGGAGACGTCCATTTTTTTCATGCTTTGTGGCAGCTTTTGAACATCTGTGACATCTATTAATGTCAAATCTAGACTTTATTTAACAACATAAGCAAACTCTATGTTACAATAATTGCACAGCCATTAAGGATCAAATCAGTTTCTGAAAAATGTTCTGCTTTTTCTTCCTCTGCTTGCTTCTTACTGTCTTTGAGGCTCGGGACCAGCACTCCTGTTGTTGGACAGAAAGACATCAGTAAGTATTTTGGTTTTCCAATATATTAGCAACTATCAGTGACATTTATATTAATCAGGCTGAACTTAATCATACTTTAGATCAGCCTGTTTTTACTTATTGTTTTATTTGTGCTTTGGTTTGGGGAAGTTGTTTCTGTACTGATCTTTTGCTGTGTTCTGTTATTAGACTTGAGATATGACTGCACTATGCTGTTGCTGGTGACTCCAGTTAATTCTACAAGACATGCTGTGTAAGTAAACAAACAACAACAGTTTGGTCTGCATTTCTTGAAAGATTACATCCCCCAAACTTAGTTTAGAAGGTCCTACACTGTATATAGTGAAGTCTGCAAGTTTTCTAACAAAAAATATGATTGTTTGCTTGTAGGACAACAGGAGAGATGAGTCCTCCATCACAGATGGTGTGGTCAGTGAAGGTGGTCGCCTGCAGGTTCAAGCTCATTGCATCTCCAACCCACATCCACTGCCACTGTACTTAAAGGAAGTTAAAGACTTTGTCTGCACCTACATTTGGATCACCTCGATCCATGACAGTCATTCAGGCAGTAATGCCTGGACTGGAAACAAGCCATCCTTAAAATAATACAACATTCCAGCTCATGTGTTGGAATGAAAAACAAATGTTTTGTTTAAATCAGAGACTGCACTTGTGACAGAACAACAAATATTTTATTTTGATTATATAAGTAATGTAAGTACAAAACAAACTTGTGGTAGGCCTAAACTTATTTTCAGAATAATTACACCTGAGACTTTGTTTCATTGTAAGATTATAACAGTGATGGCAATATAATTGTTTGTTGTTCAGCAGAACAGTGTCCAGTATGTTGGCGGTTATACTTTGTTGTGTTTGAAAATAAAAGTTGGGCTGATTTTAACATCATTACAAAAATTGTTGTTAATAATTTTTAATCATATTCAGGTTACCACAAATTGTTTTTTCATTTAGTTGAACTTGAAATTTTTTTGTCAGTAGGTAAACAATTCGTATTGTACAGTCAGAAATATCAAGTTATTCTTAATACTGCAGACTTGCAATGTATAAGTTGTCCTAACAGTCATCTTAAGTAAGCTTTACTTAGTTTTTTTGAGGCAACGAGTTTCCTTATTTTGTTTTGAGTTCTGGGAACTAACAAGGCTGTACAGAGTACTCAAAATAAATAAGTTGTCCTAATTTAGTCATTTTTAGCTAAGCTTTACTCAATTTTTTTGAGGCAACGAGTTTCCTCAATTATTTTGTGTTCTGGGAACTAATTAGATTTTACAGTGTACTAGGTATGCTACACAGCTTGGGGTGCGGAACCAGTCTCCTGGAGAGGTCCTGGATTCTGTGTCAGTCAGGGTTTGCTCCTTGGTGAGAGGCGGTGGGTATATTTGTATCACCTTGCCTTGCTGGCCAGGGAGAGGAGGGGATTTGTTCCCTGCACCTTTAGGTCAGGGAACAGGTCAGTTCAGGTCAGATCAGAGTATCAAGCCTTTTTAGAGTTCCTGGGTGGGGTGTTTGAGGGTGCTCTAAATGGCGACTTTGTTGTCCTACACTCATGTGGGCAACAACAGTGATACCTGGAAGTGTGTGTGATTGGAAGGAACGACCTGCGAGATCTGAATCCACCAAAATATAAAGCCACAGATTTGATGATGTAATTAAAAAAATGATCATAGACCTGTGGCTTTATGTTTTGGACACTTGGGTGAAGAGAGGTTCTGAGCTGTCAACTGATCACCACCTGGTGGTCAGTTGGATCAGGTGGTGGGGGGGATGCTGGACGGACCTGGCGTACCTAAAAGGTGTGCTGGGAATGCCTGGCAGAGGTTCCAGTCCGCGAGATCGTCAACTCCCAGCTCTGGCAGAGCTTGGCAGCATTCTGAGAGAGACTGGTGACATTGAGTCCAGATGGACCATCTTCTGCTGAAGCTACTGTACTCAGCTGTGGCCTCAAGGTGGCTGGTGCCTGTCATGTGTGTCAAGAGTGAAGGGAGCCATCAGACTGAAGAAGGACTGCTGTCAGGACAATGGTGTCGGGACAGTGGTTGAAGCAAAAACTTGGGTGTGGAAGGAGTTCGGAGAAGTCATTAGAAAAAAACTTTCAGACTGCCACAAAGCAATTCTGTCAAACCGTCAGGCAATTCAGGAGGGGCCCATGCAAGCTGGAGGAGGTGGCTATGGAGAGGAAGGTCTGGACTTCTCTGCTTTTGTTGTGTACAGTGACATTCAGCTACAAAGCAGACTTTGTGGATCATTTAAACTGTTCAATGACACGTGTGGCTTCACACAAGTATACACCTCCATTTAATCCCTTATTTTCTCTTCATCCATTAAAGATTGGAATACAACAAAGTTAACCAAAGTGCTTCAGTCGGTAAGAACAATAGCATGAGACAAAATAAAAGAATTAGTCCAGATGGACCATCTTCAGCTGAAGCTACTGTACTGAGCTGTGGCCTCAAGGTGGCTGGTGCCTGTCATGTGAAGGGTGAAGGGAGCCATCAGGCTGAAGGAGGACTGCTGTCAGGACAATGGTGTCGGGACAGTGGTTGAAGCAAAAACTTGGGTGTGGAAGGAGTTCGGAGAGGTCATTAGAAAAAGACTTTCAGACTGCCACAAAGCAATTCTGGCAAACCTTCAGGCAATTCAGGAGGGGCCCCCTTTTTTTCTCTTCATCCATTAAAGATAATAATACAACAAAGTTTACCAAAGTGCTTCACAGTCGGTCAGAGCAATAGCATAAGGCAGAATAAAAGAATTAGTTAAAAGGAGGGCAGGAAACAATATGAACAGATTGTGAACCTTAACTACTGGACTCCTAAATGAGCACGAACTCCAGCTTCAGGATATAATAGTGTCTCAAGGTCTTGTTCCTGAGTGATGGGAAAAGGGAGCTGGATATCGACAGACAGATTGGTGCTGCAGCTGCAGTAATGAGGACGCTGTACCGGTCTGTTTTGGTGAAGAGTGAACTGAGTCTAAAAGCAAAGCTCTCTGTTTACAGGTCGATCTACGTCACTACTCTCACCTATGGTCACGAGCTGTGGGTAGTCACCGAAAGAACGAGATCACGGATAAAGCTTTCTCCGAAGGGTGGCTGGCCTCTCCCTTAGGGGCGATCGTGGCTCAAGAGTTGGTAGTTCGTCTTGTAATCCGAAGGTTGCTGGCGGCTCGGACAGTCTTGGTCGTTGTGTCCTTGGGCAGGACACTTCACCTACCGGCTACTGGTATTGGCCACAGGGGCCGATGGTGCGATATGGCAGCCTCGCTTCTGTCAGTCTATCCCAGGGCAGCTATGGCTACAACTGTAGCTTGCCTCCACCAGTGTGTGAATGTGAGAGTGAATGAATAGTGGAATTGTAAAGAGCTTTGGGGGTCTCGAAAAGTGCTGTATAAATGCAATCCATTATTATTATTATTGTTATTACTATTATTAGAGATAGAGAGAGAAGTTCAGCCATCTGGGAGGGGCTCAGAGTAGAGCCGCTGCTCCTTTAAATCGAAAGGAGCCATTGGTTCGGGCATCAGACAAGGATGTCTCCTGGGTGAGGTGTTCTGGGCATGTCCCACCGAAAGGAGGCCCTGGGGCAGACCCAGGACATGCTGGAGAGATTATCTCTCTCTGCTGGCTTGGGAACGTGTAAACAAGGTAACATCTGACCCCACTTCCGCGAATCCCTTTATTTTGATGGGAATGAACCCTGCATAAGTTCCGGGTCAATCAGCTGCATGTCCCCTGCTCCCATGGCTGCTGTTGTTCTTGTGGTTGGCGTGCTTGTCAGATATTGACAAATTACGAACTCCATATCAGTTGACAGCATGCAATAACCCGGCCGATTCATTCAACTTTATACCTTCTCTCGATCCACTCAGCGGTGAGTTATTTGCTTGGTTTGTTTTGTCATAATTAATGAAAATGTGGAGCCACAGTCGCGCATTCTAAACTCCGGTAAGCTAACGCTAGGCTAGTGACAATTAAGTGCAATTACCTGTTTTATTTATTGAATATTGTTGTTTTTGGTTTTTCCACTGTAGCCGAATTTTAAATTAATGTTTCAAGAGTTGAGTGAGTGATTTGATTTTTGTAGTTTTGTCCATTTTGGATGTTTTCTGTTACTCTTCTGATTAAATGCCAAAACTGCCTATGGGGCTTTTGAATTGAGTATAACTCCTTTTAGATTATTCAATTTGTTTCGCAACACCCAAAATTAAATCTGTTTTGTAAATATTTGATTAACCTTGGATAATTTGTATTAGCCTTATTGCTAATTTACTTTACTTTGATGGGACCCATGTGAATGTTTTTCAGTAGTATTTTGAATGAAATTCATTATAAGAGATGATGACTATGAGATGTTATGATTTGTTTGGTTATTGGTTTATTGATTGTTGTATGAAATATGGCATTAATTAACTTTGTTATTAATAGATTTATTTATTTTGTAATGGCAGTAGAACGCTGTTTCAATTTAATATTGAATGCTAATTTATGTTTTTTGACCTTGTTTGGGTCAGGTTTTTTTTTTTTTTTTTTACTCCTGCGAGCCCTAAACAGTGCAGGATGGCGAGCCCCCCGACCACCGCTGCATTGTGGTAGGACCTGTAAACTGTTGATACATAACCTATGACAGGTCAGTGGAACTAAACTGATCTCACACTGGACTAAACCTCGTCCCACCTCCCTTTGAGTCCTAATAAGTTGTTTGGGTTATTACCATTATTTCTGTTTGTGATATATCTGCATACATTTATTTTCTGTACATCTGTCTATACCTTCTTCAATACCATAACATAACATAAAAATACATATATTTTTGAGCTCTATTTCTGTTTCCTGTGTTTTATTCACATACTCAGGCTACGTAGCTGAAGCTAGTTCTGATTAGCTCATTATCTATGAAGCTGCAGTTAGGCGCCCTGGTCCTTTACCGCGTTACAAAACCCTTGGTTCTTCCCTGGACAAGCTGGAGGAGGTGGCTGGGCAGGGGGAGGCCTGGGCTTCTCTGCTTAGGCTGCTGCCCTGGCAACCCGGCCCCGGATAAGTGGTAAAATTTAATAGACACTTTATTTTCTCTTTTTAAATCACAAAATGTTTTATTCATGATATGAAATGTGGTTAGTTTGACTTACAGTCCTCAAACTTAGAGCTTCTGTGTTCTGGTTTGTTGAAATCATCATCTGCAAAAATACAGAAACATGAATCCACACATTTTACTACTCTGCATTTGTGATCTCTGAAATGAAAAATCACACTAATTTTATATAATGAACATATTTTGTACCAGTTTAAACATACAATTTGGCTAGTTTGTCTAAAAACACAAGAATTTACAAATGTGAAGTGAATAAATTTTTTTAATTAAAATGTTCAGTCTAACAAAAGTAAGTTCAGTTTGTCTGCTCCAACATCACCTTCACACAGACAGTTTCAATCATGTACCGATTAGTTTTTTAATCCAAGGTGTCAGAGATATTCACTTACTACTCACTTCTACTTAAATCTGTCAGGGACCTGGATCTGAGTGACCCAGGGTCCCTGAGCAATTATGGACTTGTATCCTATTATGTGTCTTTGCTGCTCTGTGCCGCTGTCCCTTTTGTCCATGCTTGTGTGTGTATATAGGCAGGTGTGCTTGTGTGGGTGCGGCTGTGACAGGCACCTTCAAGCCTGGTGGGTGTGGCCATCCAAGTGGTTGGCCACACGTGAAGATCATCACACACCTGCAGCTGATCAAGCCTCATCAGAGGAGCTACTTAGGAGTGTGGTGAAGCTCTCTCCAACGCTGGATCATTGCGTGATTACCCTTCAGTTTCCCAGCAAGTTAGTAAGTGTGAGTCTGCCGCAGTCTTTGGAATTGTGCTAACGTCTGCCTGTGTGTGTGTTTCCCAGGAGGAATTGTAGAAACGAGGAGGCAGCAAGCTAATACACAGGGAGCGGAGACACAGAGCACGGGTGCGAGAAGAAGACACGAGACGGAAGTCGGGAGCAAATGGGGAATTATTGTTTGCCTTTTATTTACTTCACTATAAATAAAGAAACCTTTTCATTGCAAGAGTCCTGCATTTTGGGTCCTACTTCCCCACTCACCCACTGTCTGCCACCATGACAAATTCAGTACTAAAAGAGAAATGATTGACATTGTAATATAGTCATCAATTATCATATTCTAATCAGCTCATGAAATGTAATATAAATTTTAAATTATTTACTGGTTTGTCCAAACATTGACCTACATTTTAATCTCTTAACTCACACTGAGAGTTTTAAAATTCTGCTAGAAGAATAAATTGTTTTGGGCATATATTGCTGCACTGCATCTGCATTATACCACAACAACAGGACTAACATGTAGTTTCTGTCCTACAATTTTCAGTTTCTTCATGTTTTTAATGTGTACATTAATTCATGTGTAATTCCCATTTTAGCACACTATGTGGCATATCATGTATATAAAAAGATTTGATCACAGGACATGTACTGCTTACCAGAATGCAATGCTATTGTCATCTTGCGGCCATGTGTTAGTTTTGAATGCATTTATTCTTGCATATTGATATTATCTTTTCTTTTATGTGCAGGTAGAGGCTATGGACACAAACAACATGGATTAAATGGGCAGATGCAGACACACCATTCAGAATTCCTTTCATTTCTTTGTCTTTGTCATGTCTCTTGTCACCACAGTCACCTCAAACCATCTAACATGTCAGGTACATCTGTAAGTTATAAGTTAAGCATTTGTTTGATCAGGTGACCCTGAATCCTCCTGAAGTAGGGTAACTCTGCATCTTGTTTAGTAATGAGATTACATTGGCAGAAGGATAAAGCATCATCTGCATTATTGAGCATATTGTATGGCTCTGTGTTAAAGAGAGAACTGACCAAGAAAGTGACACTGTTTATTTTTAGTGCTCAGTCCATGTTCTTGTCTTCATCTATGGTTATGAGTTGTGGCTAATGACCAAAGTGGTTGGTTGAATGTTGTGTTTTTCTCTGAGTCCTGGTGTGACATGGGCTGGTTTTCCTCTTCTCTCCTAGGAAGACTCTTAAAATCTTCATATTTGTCCCCCATATTCAACGACTTATTCCCAAGCTAGTCAATGGGTTACTCAATCCAACACTTACCTCAATCCCCTAGTGGCAAAGCCATACTTTACATTTGGGTGAAATACAGAACTTAAAACTGTTATCACTGTATGTGTTTCGTGTGCACTTGAGTTGTCCTTTCAGTTTTGGTGGCCATGGCCGTTGACATTAAGTCATTTGAGAGGTTCAAACTGGAGCTCTTATTCCTCCATATCAAAAGGCATTGATTTAGTTCACCTTATTGATTTAGTTCACCTTATGTCTAGAATGCCTCCTGGGCACCTCCTGGTGAGGTGTTCTGGACATGTCCTATCAGGAGGAGGCCCAAGGCCAGACCCAGAACATGCTGGTGGGATTAAAATCTGATTGACCAATGGCTAACAACACAGGAAGGAAATGTCATTGTAGGATTAGTAGAACTTTATTCCTCCCTTTCTAAATTATATAGCTTTTGGCATTACAACTGATACTTTAAATGAAATTGTTTTTATTTTACTCATGATACATGAATGTTGTTAGTTTGACTTACAGTCCTTGATGTCAGAGCTGCTATCTTCTGGTTTCTTGAAATCTTCTGCAAAAATACAAATAACTCAAATTATCCCTCAACACTTAAACCATCAGGTCTCTGCTTCTGATATGCCAAGTAATTAGTGTAATGTAATGAACACAATTCATACCATCTCAATTAAATTTAAAGATTGGACCCTCAGCTGGTGAGAAAAGACTAGAAGCAGAGATGCTGTCCCAAGTTTTTGTTTTTGGTTGTTTCATGTATCGTATCAACTTGACCCCACTTTTAAAAAGTTCTGATCATCTTCAAAGATGGAGCAAATTTTCACAGTAATATGACATCTTTATTCTGCACATCTCAGTATCACTACCATGACTCTAATTCTTGTTTCTAAGTGCTGACTAGAGAAACTAAAGAAATCCAAATATTGCTTTCAAAACAAACCAAGAAAGCATCTCAGCGTAGCACAGAGGCACCACATTTGTTTGTTTTTTTCCCTCAACACAGCTTCTTTGTGTTTCTTGTTGTGGGCAAGAAGCCATTATGTCAGGGGTTTTTGGTACCATGCTTTCTTTGGCAGTGGTGAAGAGTTTGTCATCGCTCAATTGTTGAACTACACCCATTAGTGAAACCCTGGCTATCATCTCATTGTGCTTTCTTCTTTTTGCTGTTGTCATGCTCCTTAGTCTGATGACTCAGTGTTTTTGTTTTGATTACTATTATCTTATTTTTTGGTTTAATTCTGGTTATGTATCTTGAGATTTTCTAGTTCTTAGGTGTTGGTTCTCTGTGTTCAGCCTCTTTCCCCGGCTCATCTGCCCAATTAGTTCCAGCTGTTTTTCCCTCCTGTTCCCCATTTCCCTGATTTTCCTGAAAAACGAATATATCAGGAAATTATCAAGATGACTAAACATAGGAACAAGAAAAAAAATCCCAGCATTTTCCTCTGCCACCTCAACCCCTGTGCATGTCCTCCTTCACAGCACGAATCTTCTCTGAGGTCTTTCTCTTTTCCTCCTGCCTGGTAGTTTCATCTCCATCATCCTTTGTCCATTAATCCAGTAAATCCACTGTCCTTCCTCTGCACATGTCCAAACCATCTTAGCCTCTCTGATGGACTCCTTTCAAATCTTGTCCATCCTGCTCACTCCCAGTGAACGTCTTAACCTCTTAATCTCAGCCTCCTGTTGAGGTCAAAAATCCTTATACTTATTTTCCACCCTGATTTACGAATAAATTCTTTACAAATCCTACCATGTGAATTCATGGATTTTTTTTTCACATTCTGTCTCTCACAGTTGAAGTGTACCTCTGGTGCAAATTACTGACCTCTGTCATCATTTTAAGTGGGGGAACTTGCACAATCGGTGGCTGACTAAATACTTTTTTGCCCCACTGTATGTTGTTGTTGTCTATCAAGGGCAGGTAGAGACACATCTGTTGGAATTGCTGGTATAAGATACACTTGTTGGTGGTGTCAGTCTTTGAATGTTAACTTGACAGCCCACACAAAGGAAATGCATTAGCTGGGCACGTAAAGACACAGTAGTCTTTAAGCAGCTTTTCGGTATTTATTTTTTTTATTTACATTCATTCTTTTAGTAATGACTGGAAATGATAAAATGATTAACTGAATTGGCAGAACATGTACTGTGAGCATGTTGGATACGTTTATCAGCCAACGTTGCTCCTATCAACAGCACCGTATGAACATGGCAGTTGGATCCTGCTCCACCCTGCTGCTGCACCTGTTTGTTGTGTACTTTTACTTCCAATACCTGAACAGATGTTACAGTTACTCTCTAAATCTACTCTCTGTGACACATTTAGACAGTGTGAGTGCAAAATCCTCACTGCTGTTCAATGAAATATGAGTGGACTCACCAGCTGTTTTGGTTGCCATGATGTCACTTTTCTGAAAAGACCAGGGGATGAACTGGAAGGGGAAAAAATGTATTTTAGGTTCTTTGAATTTCACGGGGAAGCATGAATGGGTCAAATGGAACAGCACAAAAAAGAAAAGTTTTTATTGTGATGTTGGTTGGTTTATGCAATGCTTCAGTTGGTCTGGAGTTGGTCACCACGTAGAGTGTGTTATATACAAACGGGGGGGCATGAATGATTTATTCCACATTCTCAACCTCAGAGATCATTTCTGCTTTCAGAAACCTTACAGTCCATAAGTAACTGAAGATATTTGTGACACATTTACTTGTGTCACAAATATCTTACGATTACTGTTAATCCTAGAAGATTATGACAGATCGTGCCACATTTAAATATGATTTGCACAGTTTGATAGAAATGAGCAACTATAGACCACATCACCTGCATTATAACCATATTCACATCTTACATTTAGCAAATGCTTCTGAGAATGATGATTAGATGAGATCACAGAGTCTGAAAACTCCAGAAAGTGAAACATGATCTTAAGTGTGTGTGTGGGCGATATCTGCAATAAAACAAAGGGAATACCAAGACATGTTCCAGCCTGCTGGGTATAGGTGAGCAGCTGCACATAAGGTGTGTACATGGGGGTGGGGGTGGGGGGGGGTTGTGGCAGTTTCACTGGAGAGATTAAAATTTTCATATAGATAAAACATTAAAATATTCCTCTTCAGCCAACTGTCTCGCCCTTTTTTTTTAAATACAATTTTTCTGTCAGCTGAGACGAAATTATTTATGTCATCATATGTTATATAACAAATAACCTTATTTTAATGTTTTTGCTGATTCAGTGCAGTCAATTCATAAAAGAGTATTATCAAAAAAGAGTTTTATAAATTATAGTTCTGCATCATAACACACACAGTAGCAGGTTCACTCTCAGTGCCCTGCAGCCCAAATGAAAAGATGTAAATTAGGAAAAATTGAAAGTATCTTAAAGGAAGTAATGATCAAAATGAAACTATCATTAACAAAGAGAATCACAATGCACTTTACAGTCCAAACATAGCTAACAAAGATAAATCAGACCTGCAGAGTATCCAAAACATGAAAAACAAACATTTATTGATGAGTTTAACTGCTGAGAAAAAACAGCAGATAAATTTGTGCTCTACCTGTTCGTCGTCCTCTGAGTTCACAGGTGAGGCACGGCGTCTGCTTCTTTGTCTGTTTGCACCTGATGATGATCTGATGACGGTATGAAGGTGTTCAGTCAGAGAATATGAAGATGGGCTGTACACTGCCCACCCAATCAGAAGTTAGAAACAGTGCTCATGTTTTCTCTGAGCCTTATTTTCCTCACTTTTGATTGGGTGGGAACATCCACCCACCCATACACTGTGTGCCGGTGTTTGGGTGGGGTGAGCCTACTCCTGTCCATAGCTAGAACCGTCTAATGACACAAAAACAATCTAATCTGTGAAGATGAAATTTAAAATCTGTACATGATTTTTTATTCCAGCTGCAATGTTTAAAATAC